GCCAGATAGATAGCAGAATAAGGGGGAAAACCCTTATATCAAATGCTGTATCAAATGAATAACAACAATAGCAACAACAACAACAATTATTATATAAATATATATATATATAATCCAGAATAGACAACTAGATTTGCTGATGCAATTTAAAATTTACAGCAGCAAAATCACTTAGCTTTAGAATTTCTAAAACAAATAACATTTCACTAAACTGAAATGAGAATAGTGTAAAATAATTTACCTGTTCTGCCCTGGCAGTTTAGACATGAAGTCAAAATGCTAAATAAGCTATATCACTCTGCAAGAATTAGGAAAATAAATGAATTTAACTATGTACACAATATATAAACCATAGCTACAGAAAAACTTCAACTTCCACATTTCAACAATGTGATTCAATCTTTCAAGACTGCACATGTGCTTAAAAATTTTAATATTAGTGTTTTCACAACCACTTATTAAACTCACACATTAGCAAAAGTAATCCAAAGTGTCACACACACATACACAATATGTTACTATTTCCCCATGTAAAGATTGATAATATTTGTCTTCAACTATAGCATGGGATGGTGTAATATTGCTACATTTGTCCTTCGAACATTGCATATATTCAATTTGTGAATTAGTCAATATTATAAGAACAACAGTGAAAACAAAAATCAGGAATTGATGCACAGTAGTTGGCAACAAGACAACATTTTTTCTTCCAAGAGGTTATGGCTCAAGTTGCTGTGTAGTAGAGCATTTGTTCTGCAGTGTGCAATTCAAAAGATATAAATGGAAACTTTTTTATCATTTGCACTCTTGCTAATGGAAATGCAATAGATTTTGTTGCAGAAACCTAACCCTGAATCAATATTGATGCAATGCAATGAAGCAGCTGGTTCAGCAATGAAGCACCTTTAATACAGAACCTGGATTATAGCTAAGCAGTTTCAGAGGCCATGGTCAGTTTGGAATAGCAGTATACGACTGAAGTAGATATTGCCCGTTGTATTTTCTTTAAGACATACTGGATATCAGTGGGGCACCAAGACTCTTCATTGTTCTGTTAATCATCAAGACTTTTCCTGAAAGGAATTTTTATTTTTAGCATAGCGACAGGAATGATGAAATTTGAGATACAATATCTGATTAAAGCAGAACTGGGCATTTTATGGCCCCCTTGGCTGTCCCTGTCCAGCCTCATGAAATCAACCAGAATTTTGAAATCAAATGTAAATAACTGCACTGCAGGGGACAGGAAGTGAAGTTGTCATGCACTCCTTCAGGCTCTTGAGAGACTCAATCTTGACCCTTACAAAAAGAAATATAGCTGAATGTGGTTGGCAGTCCCAAAGAATTAGATTTTGCGTGCACTCTCTATCTTGTGTACACACACACACACACACACACACACACACACACACTCACACATTGTGAATATAGATTTCAGTATGAAAGAGGGTTTTCTACCCTTCTCTCTTTTGAGCCCTGTCTAAGCTTTGTGTGATGCTGGAAAGNTCCCCTTTTCCCCCTTTGAATTGTTCACCGCCCTGAGTCCTCCCGGAGAAGGGCGGCATACAAATAATAAAATTCTATTCTAGTCTATTCATTTTTCTTTTATTATTTTATGTACTGTAAATTTTTCTAATAATTATACATACAAAACCCATAGACATGAATATCCTTATCCCGCCAGTATTTCTCTTGTTCCTATTCAATAGTCTCCTTGATAAAATTGTAATATATTAGAGCAAGTCAACCATTTGTGTTTAGTAATCATTTTCTTCTATAAAATGCTTTCTGTGCTGGGAGCCACAAAGGTATTTTCAGGCACAGCCCAAGTGTTCCATATGCTCAGTGTGTCACCTCTAATAAAATTATTTTTAAAATCTACATTAACTTTTGCTTTTATCATACTGTAGATATTCATGCCATCCAAATCTCAAATCATACCCTTCTAACTCCAAAAGCCTCCTGTTTAACAACTTTCATTTTTTCCATCCAGACCAAAGAGCAAGGCTGCAAAATATAATTTCAAGTCAGGCTTAATTCTCCTTTCTTTTGCATCTTATAATAATACCTTATGTTTAACTTGAGGTTTTCCCCCCTGCTATGCAAATTTAGATATGTCCTTCTGTCATTGTTCAAATGGCACATACGTCAAAACTAGTATTGTCTAAAATTAATACTGTAGGCAAGACATTGATTCTAATCACATAAATTATCCCCAAAGATGACAATTGTGTTTTCTTTTGTGACTTTCACAAAATCTCTAACCTATTGAGAAACCTATCATTGTCATATTCTGCTTTAGGTATTTGTCTGCTGTTTCAACAAATACATTGGGCTTAATCCAAACTGTTAACCACTATCACCTTTGAAAATTGTCATAGCAGTTTCCACTACATTATTTTATGTCCAGCTCATCTCAATTTTTCCACCAATTCAACAGTGAAGATTCGGTTTGAACTTCTGAAAAGGCATTATTAGACTATGTCATTTGGTCTAATTCTGCCTCTTCCTGGTCGCCATTGCGAAACTCTGCTTTAAATAACTTTTTAATCAAAGCAGGTAGGTCGTCTGTGAGTTTCACAGTCAAGGGATGAAAAATGCCTCCTTACAATGTAATGAGGGGGCTGCCCGCCAAAAGCGTGCAAACTAAAGGGGGGTGAGGGAAGGGACTGGTTTCACGCAGGGACCCTTGCTAGACACAAATCTCCCCGTTTCTATTGGCGTTGGAAAATATAAAGCACTGTACAGCTCAAACTCCACGTGGGTTTCGCGCGTCATTCGCGTACGGAAAAATCTCCGTCGGAATTCGGCAGCTGGAGGAGGAGGAGCAGGCCGAAAGGGCGGGAGGTGTGGATTTGGGTTCGTGCTGGGCGGGAGGCGGGAGGGAAGCTCAGCAATGAATGAAGGCGCGAGCCTCTCCGCAGAGCCGCGCGGCTGAAGCGCCCCTAGCGTTTTCTCCGCACTGCCAGAGGCCGGCTGCTTTTTGAGATTCCGCGTCCTTCGCGGGCAGCTCAGCGCCAGCCGCGGTCCCCTTCGTGTCGGCTCAGGAAGGAGGGGAACGGGGAGGAGCAGCCACCGCCGGATGCAGGGAGGGAAGAGCTCCGGCTCTCCTGCGCAGCGCGGCCGGCTACTCACCTGAGCGCGCAGTGGCGGCAGCGGGAGGAGGAGCCGCCGCCGCCGCCGCCGTGATCCCGGCCCAGGGGGCGGCGGCGAGGGCAGCCGACCCAGAAGCCATGGCAGGGACTCCGGGAGTCTAAGAGGGGTCGCCTTCGCCTCGCTAAAGAGCTCCAGCGGAGAAGCCGACCCGCAGAGGCCTGCCAGCCCGGAGCGTAAAAGGCGGGCGGAGAGCGTGGCCAGGCCAGTAGGCGGTCGTGGGGCCGGCCCTCTCCAGTCTTGGCCCGGGCCGGCTTTGCAGGGCGGCGCAACCGCACGCGCAAGATGTCCACCCGCACGCCGCTGCCCACCGTCAACGAGCGGGATACGGAGAACGTGAGTGCAGCCGGGGTTGAGTTTGCTGCGGGGGCTTCCTTCGCGCGGCCGGTCGAGGGGTTCCGAGGGCGAAGGGGCGGCTTTGCTTCCGTGAGGGATCGAGGGAGGACCGAGGTGCCCTTCGGGGTGACGCCCGGCGCCTCTTTCGTCTCAGGCGAAGGGTCAACCTTTCCCCCCTCCGGGGAGGCCTTCTCCGGATCCCCCTTCCACCCCCGTCCTCGTACAGCAGCCACGCCTCGGTGGGATGCTTCCCTCCCCTCCCTTCGCCACACCCGGGACCGGCTTCTTTTCCCCGGGCGACTTTCTGTCCTTCCTTCGTGCTGCGAGACTCCAGTCCCCCCTCCTCCCCCCGCAGTGCAGCCGCTGGGAAATATTTCTGGTGTGTCTAGTTCTGCTGTTGTTGGCCTGCCAGTCTCGGTGTGCGTGGAAGCTTTCCAGCTGGTTGGGATAGTCGGTCGTCCGTGGGCAAGCAAGAGGAGGGGAAGGAGCGGGTAATCTGGGGAGAAGGTAACCTTGCAGGTAAACTTTCTGCTCGGATCTCTCGACGCTTCTGCTAATACTGATTACCCACTGGAACGGACATCCATATTTTTTTTCTTGGGATCCTCTTGGGATCCAGTAATCATTCAGTGTCTGCCACCCGGATCTTCTAGGCCAGACAGAGATGCCTATATTGTGACCTCCAAAAGTAGGGCTTCTCTGTCAATCCATCATCCGTAGCAAGGAGTAAGATTCCCCCGCCCCCCCACCCCGAGTTTTCCTGGTACTTAGTTTTGTTTTGTCTTGTGCAGAATTCCTATATGTTCATCCAAACAATTACTATTGGACGCTGTCTTCACATAACAGCCTCAGAAATAAAAAGGAATGGTTAGTTTTTACTGGATGGTTGTTATAGGAACAGTACAATAGGGGAAAACAAGAATAAAAAGTCTTAATACATGCAAGTATTTTTAAATAGTGTTGTATAAACACAGACAAATTCAAGGATGCAAGATGTTAGACTTGGGGTAGCAGAAATATGACTGGAATGCCCATTTCACATTGTTAATGGTTGCTTGTCTTGTGAAGGAAGAGAAATTGAATATCCAAGTTGTATAAAATCTGGCATTATATACTGTTTCTGGTAACATGTCAGAATTTATTAGAAGTGAGAGAGAAAAGACATTTGAGATACAATAATGCAATAAGAGTTTAATTGACCCATAGTTTTACAGTGTTCATGTGAAATATGCCATCACTGTTGATGGTGCTTATTTTTCTAAGCAAACATAAGCTCTATTCACTCTTTTCTGGAATTACTGACAGTATGCTAGGCACCATTTATCAGTTCTAATTTGAATAGTTGCATTTAATGGGAAAGTGTGTGGCAGCAATGGTGAGAAGGAAAGGAAATGCTGACTGTAAAAATAGCTTTGCTTTCACTGGCTCAGTGTAATTAAAGAATTCCAGACTGTTTTAATCAGAATGCTGTATGAAGAAATTGCATGGATACCCACCATATCTTATGCAGATACTTCAATAATCCTGATCTAGTTTGTCTTAGCTAATACTTTAATATGTAAAGTTAAAAAAAGACATAGTTTTTAATGCAGTGTAAGGATCCTGTCCCACTTCCATTTTAGAGAAAATAAGTTATGGCAGGAAAGATGCGTAAATTTTTGTGTGTGCATAGAAACATACATTTATTGTCACATAGATAACTAAAAAAATACTGTTGAAAAGAGTCAATACTTGTGTCTGTTTATAATACCCCCCCCCCAAAAAAAAGTACAAAAAATAGCAAAAAAAACTTTTACATGAAACTATTGTTGTTTACCAACTTGGATAAAACTATTCTTTCTGATTAATGGTAAGTTACTTAGTTTTGAAAATGTGATGATTCTGTGCATTGAACCTTGAGGGCATTGGTTGCAATGAGAAACAGGTGATGGACTTTAGAAATAAATAAGGTCTCTGAAGTTGCTTCACTGTAGATTGAATAGAGTTAGTTGGTAATTGGATTTGAGTAAGTGCAGGACAAACAAATCATGAATGTGGTTCTTGGGGTAAAATTTATTAGGGAAACAGGCAACTCTAGAATATTGAAAAAGATTATTTAATTTCTCTAATAAGTTTCAAACCGAGAGTATGTTTTAGCAACCCCTACCATTTATTGTAGACCATGTAGAACTTTTATCTAATTTTCTTACTGTAGTTAGTTTGTTCTAATGAATTACAATCTGAAATAAGTATGGTTGCTATTTTCTCTTCTCCCCATATATAATTTTCCTAGAGTGAGTCAGCAATTGATAAAATAATTGAAATACTGTAGACAAACAGTTGCTTTTAAAAGAATTTTTATTTTGATTTGTAGTCCTTTCCCAAGTTGAATATTCTTATACTCAAGTTTTTAAAATTATTATTACACTAAATATTATCCAGAAAGGTATTGATATTTTTAAGAATGAACCAAATAGGATTTCAAAGAATTGATTTCTCTTTGTCTGCACTCACTGCAGCCTCTGCAAAGAAAAATGAAGGATAATGGTTTCTCTAGACACAATGCTCTTGGCTATCAGAAACTCTTCCAGAGGCAAATCTGTTTAACTTTAAAAGGAATGTGATTTATAGATAAAGTGCCAACATTCTAGATTTTCAGCCAACCCGTGATCTGAAAGATGGGGAAGAAAATATGTTTTACATTGATTGCCTGTATTTGACATTTTGCATGTTGGATTTTAAAGTTTGAGTTGATCGTTTTGTTTCTTTTATTCGGTGTATGGATGACAGTCCTTTACTGGTTGTTCATCTTATAATAGTTAAAACGAGCTGGGAAGCATTTAATGTTCAAATGAATGTTCTTTGGATTCCTGTAGTAAACTTCAATATATTTTATTGAAATATTTGTTTTCCTAATAATAATACATAAAAATTCTGGGGGGAAAGCCAGGATTTCCATGTAAGATTTAAACAATAAAAGATGGCAGGTTTTGTTTTTCACCTGGGATCACAAAAAGATAGGGCTTGAGAAAAGATACAGGAGAATAATATGTAGACATAAAACAGCACTGCACTACTATCACTGTCATGTTCTCAAACTTGATAGGGCTAGGATCCATTTTGGGAGACAGTTTAAGGAATTTTAAGGGCTGTGGGAGGTACCTTAATTGTTTGCAAGGTTATTGCTCCTTAAGCCCAAATCAACACATCTGAAATATAAAAAAGGCCTCAGATTTTTGGCATCACACAGTTGGGGTCTGGAGACCACAGTGCTTTTTATGTGCTTGGCATGGGATATGAGAATGCTAACATTTGATATTTCCTTTTATTAAACAAACTTTTATTTGTATTAAATGAACTTGTTAGTTTCACTTTTAAATGTTCCACAACTCTTTGTTGACTTCTGTAGATTGGGCCCATTTTCATATTAGTAGGCTTGTGTTGTTGCCATAAGAAATCAAATTTAATTAACTAATTATGTAGCCATTTTTTTTACTTATATTACATTCCTCCAATTTTATAATATAAGGATTTGTCAGCTTGTAGACCATCTCACTTCCTGTGTATGGATGAGGATATAGATAGAATTCAGACTGTTTTGATGATGTAAAAATGAGTCCCACTGTATCTACTTTTCTGGAAATAGCTTTTGTTTTCTGGACTTGGAAGCACTAGAGATGTTTGCAGAAGGCTCTATAGATCAAGCCCACCATTACAGGCAAGTAAAGTCCAAGGCTGACTTCCAAGTTTGTTTTAGATAAGACTGCCTGAAGTCAGACTCAACTTCTGCTGACTACCTTATTTCCCCTGTAGTTTGCTTGGAATAGTACAAAAGTCATTCACTGTTTTCTAGTTCTACTGTCATAAATAGTGAATATCTTTTTTGTTAGCTCTTTGTAGCTTTAATTTGATGAGTCTTGCTTTCCTTTAAGAAAATTGAGGTAACTCAGCTACTGTGCACCACAATTATCCTATTATAGTTTGGAAGTAAGAAATGCACCCTCTGCCATAAGACACCAGAAATGAAGGTGCCGAACAAGAATTTTTTTAGAAACTCTAACAGATATAGGATATAAGACCCAGAAATGTTAAAATGCTTGTCTCATTGTTGATGCATTTGTCAGATAATATGCTATTTCTCGGTTTTTCTAGAGTAGTAATGTACAGATGAAATTACTTTCAAAATAGTAGTCTCATGTTCTCAACTTAAATGACTTTAAGAAACATGTGAAGGAAACAAAAAGTAGCTGAGAGATTAAACGCATCCATACCTCTGACTAGTAGGTATGAACTCACTAATTGTGAGTTTACACATTAATTTACAGCAAATCAGTATTCTGTTGTTACTTATTTTCATATAATGAATAACAATGTTGGTATTTCCTATGCCTCTTATTTAATATTGGACACTGAATTAATTTCAAGAAGAGATGTGTGGACTCTGTGAACCAATCTTTCCGACTCCTAGATGTGCAGCTGGAGAAAAAATTTGATAGGAAAACTTCAGAGTCATTGATAATTGGGTGGCATTCAGGATTAATATATTATGGCTGGTTGCACAGCCAGACATTTAGATTAGATTTGGTAGTTATCAAGTCCTTCCCAAGGACTCCACCACCACCATCTTAACTTTTTTGACTTCCCCCACCTTCCCGCTACTTAATTTATTAAACTTGTAGGCAACATTCAAGGCTAGCTATAATTATGAAGTAGAGGAGTTGCCATAGTGAGTAGTTCCATTTTTGTTTTATTATAAAATAAACATTATTTCATAAATTTGGGAGAGGTGAGCAAACTGGCTGAAAACAGTGTAAAGAAATCAAATTATTTGGTATTGTGAGTAATCGTTACATGGTTACTGCTGTTTTAAAGGTATTAAGCAGGTGTAATACTGTACTTTCATGTTTGTAAAAAATATTGGAATATCAGTAGAAACTTATATTTTGGACACATGTATTTTGTTATTTCCTTCATTAAATGTAAACGTTAAGCTCTTGAGGATTGGGGTAGAATATGGTAGC